ACAATAAACTGGCCCGATAACCATCTTCAATTCACACACACCAAAATGTATGACATCAAATTATTAATAATTATAATACAACAATAATAAAAATAATTAACGGAACAATAACACAACAATTGTTATTAACAAAACAATAATATTTACAACTACATTAGCCCCGATTGCTTGGTCTCAGCCTATTGTGATTATAATTATTAATATTACTGTCATTTTTAAAGAAGACCTGAAAATTGCAACAGCAATAATAATAATAATAACATTAATAATGACAGTAATAATATCANTCATTTTTAAAGAAGACCTGAAAATTGCAACAGCAATAATAATAATAATAACATTAATAATGACAGTAATAATATCAATAAATATAATAACAACAATAATAATAATAACAATAATAATATACAATAATCATAACAACAACGACAATAATAATAATAATAACAGTAATAATAACAATACAAAATAACATCAATAATAATAAATAATAATAATACTAACTATAATGAATCAAATAAATAAAATGAATAATAATAAAATGAATAAAAAATAAAATAAATAAATAATAAATAAAATAAAATAAAATAAATAAAATAAAAAATCGCAAATAATAAAATGAAATAATAATAATAATTCTATCAACCGAACACAACGATTCATAATAATAATGCACTGTTAATCCCAACAACGATAAATTCACTGCACATTAACGACATCGCTCAGTTGCAGTCCGTATGGTAATAGTAACTGCTGAAATCACATTACAATAATAATAAAATTATAAATAATAATAGTAATAATAATAGTAATAATAATAAATAATAATAATAATAATAATAATAATAATAATAATAAACCAACGTCAACATCGCGAACCGCCCGGAAATCAGCCTTCTGATACGCATCGAACGACTGCTTTTTACACTTCGAATATCGCTCCTTCGGTACTAATAAACCAATTCCTTTCAGGTGCTCAACTGCACTGATTATCTGAACATTATACCAATGATAATTATAACAATATTATATCGATATCAATAATAAATAATAACAAATAATAACAATAATAAATAATAACAATAATAAATAATAATAACAGTAATAACAGATAATAACAATAATAAATAATAACAAATAATAAAAACAATAATAATAAATAATAACAATAATAAATAAACATAAACAAATAAACAATAACAATAATAAATAACAATAAGTAATACATCAACGTCATCAACAATCTGCATCCAGCTCGGTGCCAGCATACGAATACGTGACTTCGTCACTTCATCGCTCTTTAGCCGCAGTATCGTACGGCCAATATACACCCTCAGTTCATTCTTTAATGATTATAGTATTATTATTATTATTATTATTATTATTATTGTTATTATTATTATTACTATTATTATTATTCATAATAAATACAACTGCAATAAAAATAAAAATAAAATAATAACAATAATAATAATAAAAATAAAAAAATAATAATAATAACAAATAATACCTTATGCAGTGGACGATCCTGGGTTGGGTGCAGCAAAAT